AGACCCAGTGTGCCATCACCTTGACTGTTTAGAATGAGATTTCAGAAGTACCAGGGTGAAGGGTAAATCATAGGAATATTGCACCAGGCTTTGACGTTCACATGAAGAGTTTGTAGGAGAAGAAGGTACTATGGTGAACAAAACCCAACATTGGTTGAAATCCTGCCATGGACCATATGCACTTTGATGTACTTCAGCCACTGGACTCTCCAGTGAGGCGACAATAACAATGATTATATGCTAGTTTGATACTTACAGCACCCTATGGATTCCCACACTGAATCATCAAGGCACCATTGCAAGTTATACATCACTCCACTTCGTAGATAAGGAAAGAAAAAGTTTAATTAAACTTCCCAGGTTTACTTCACTGGGGACAGATAGAACTGGCTTTTGCACCCAGGCTTCTGCCTTCTCATAGGTAAGTAGAGCATGTGTAGGCCAGGTGGCCCAATGCATGGAACCAGTGGCTTCACAACGGCATCATCTTAGGTTGCTGGGTGGAGTGGAGCCGGGCCTTGTACAACCCTTCCTGTGCCTAATGTCGGGCAGTCCCATTCATATATGCAATTAATGTCAATCCAAAATTAATAGAATAGTGTAAGAAAGAAACCCATGCCAGGCTTAGCCTTAGCGCTGCTGCAGAAGGCCGCCTCGAGCAGAGAGGGTTGGAGGGAGGGCTGGCCAGGTAGCCAGTGGGTCTGTCAGCCCCTCATGGACCACAGGGAAGATGAGGGCCACCCTGTGGACCTCTCTGCACCACCCTGCTCTACTTGGTGCAACAGCCTGTTAGGGACTGGACTTTTCCCCACCAAGTTCATAATGCTGAAGTCCTAAGCCCCACTTCCTCAGAATATGGCATTGTTTGGAATAAGGCCCTTAGAGAGATGACTGAGTAAAACTAAGGTCGTGGGGAGGGCCCTGATCTGACTTGGCCAGCCTTATGCATCAGGGATCCATGGATGCAGAGACAAACACTCAGGAGATGCTTTGTGAGGATGGAAAAGGGAGGAAGGGGATGCTTCTGCTCGCCAGGAAATGCCAAAGAGTCTCCAAAAACATGGGAGACCAGAAAGCAGCCTGGAACAGCCTCTTCCTCCAGCCTCTGAGAGAGCGAACCCTGCCAACACCTTGGTCTCGAGCTCCTGCCCAGACTATGAGATGTGCACATCCCTGTGGTCTGAGCCCTCAGTCTGTGGTCCTTGTGAACAGCAGCTCAAGGAAACTAGGTCAGCCCCATGTTCGTCTCTCCTCTAGGGCTCTGGCTTGTGCTGCCCAACCCTTTCTGAGTCCTGTCTGTCCTCTGGCCACACTTGCCTTCTCTCAGGCCATCGCTTCTGCTGCAGTGTTTCTCCGGGTCCCTGTCCCATGTTGCCACCTACTATCTAACTGGTTTCAGTCATCAGTGTTTTCCGAGAGCAAACTGTGTAGCTCTTCCTGACCCCGAGGGAGACAAAGACCAGAAACAGAAGGAAAAGAGCAAGGCAAACGTCAGGCTTGACAGTGCTGTAATAACAGAGAAATAGGGGAGCAAGATGGGGGTGGGGGAAGCTCCTGGAAGCCCAGGTAGGGCCCTGAGGAGGAGGAACAGCTCTGATCTCAGTAACAAGCAGAACCAGACAGGCCCTAAGTTTCTGTCTGCTGAATTAATGATTCATGATACAAGAAAGTTTGCAATGAATTTCAAGCCCTGCCTGGGACAGCCTGGGTAGGCAGAAGTTGCCCACTTTTCTGGCCTGGGACCTAATTAAAGCTGTGCTTTTCAGGGGGAGCTCTGCTGGCTGCTGCCTGAGCAAGCCCAGTATAAGGTCTGTGAGTTCTGGAGAGGAGCAGGAAGCAGAGACAAGACGTGTTCTGGGGGATGGAGTCAGCTCAGGAGCTTGCCTTCCTCCCAGTGGGCTCTGGATTCAGGCTTGTCTGCAGCCTGGGCCTCTGCTGGCTTGGAAGTATGTTCTGTTTGCCAAGCAGAATTTTCTGGCCCCCAGCTGAGAAGCTGGTGGAGCTGGCTCACTGCTAATTTCATTTTTCTAACTTACCAGCTTGGCAAGGCTTGGCTTCTCCAGCCTCAGTCTCTTGGAACTTCATACCCACCTCCCTCAGCCAGAGAAAGAAAGCAAGCTGTGATTCACCAGAAATGTTCATTGCTATTTTCTGGCCTTAAAAAAAGAAAATATATACATATGCACAAGTTCCAACATTATGTCTTAGCTCAGCAGCTTCTGCTTGCTGAGGAGACACTTGGATGCAAGATTGGAAAAGCAGAAAGGTCGCTCAGACTGTGTCCCTGTGTGAGAGCTAGCCTGGCTTTGTTTTGACATCTGAGAGTAAGGCCAGGCCAGTGAAGGTGGCTACTGCATGGGGAGCTGGATCTCAGGTCCAAGGAGTCCCTGGAGAGGGGAAGGTCAAGGCTGCAGGCCGCTGAGGGCCGGTGTCTGGCTCTGCCACATGTGGCTTGGGTTCCTCTTCCTGCCATTGCTGGACAAGCCAGTGGCACAGATAAAGCTCCCTGTGCTTACAGGAGCCTTTAGGGCCCTGAAAACTCCTCCTCTCCCAGCTCCTCTTCATGTCTGTCCACCTTGCTTTCTGGACTCCAGCCACACAGGCCTTTATGCAGGAGCCACTGAAGAGTGACTGCCAAGCTCTTTTCTATGTGTCTTCACGAGGATATTCTGAGTAGCTAGGCCTCAGGGGACAGGTGACCCCATCAAGTCACATAGCAAAGATGGCAGGCACCCAGCCTGTGGCTAGCCAGGCAGCAAGGGACTGGGCCCACTGTGGCTGAGGCTAGCTTTCCACAGAGTGGCCGCCTTTGCCTGTGATACTGGCTGCACATAGACAGGCCAACCTTTCGGTCTACATCTGAGCTCCACCTGCCCCGGGCTGGGGATGTGACTGTGCGGGTTAGACTTGAGACTGCCTGCCAGGTGGATGGCTGTTGTGTGACAGCAGCTCTGTGGAGGGCAGGCTGCTCATCATCCCACCCTGGCCTTCTTCCAGTTCCCCAGGAGGTGGCCTGAACGTGCCCCACCCCGCTGCCCCTGCCTGGCCAGGCTTCCTGGCCTCTCCCTCTGTGTGGCCGGTTTGTTTGTAGTGTTCTGGGCTATGCTTTGGTTTCATATATCAGCCATGCACTTACTGCCGGCCTCTGCATTCATCTCTGCATCAGAGGCCTTCAGGCCTTCTCAGGGCTGCCGGGGGCCCTTTCCATGTGTGCTCTCACAGTGAAATCATTACCCTCTTCCTCCTTGCTGACCCCACCTTGACTTGCTCCCTTTCCTCCCAAAAAAGGCCCCTCTGCTCACCAGGTGCCCCAGCCAGAAACCAGGGGCCACCGTGGACATCTCCTCCCACTCGACCCCTCCCCAGTCCCTAGGTCCAGCCAATTTACCATGTAGTGCAGCACCCCAAGCCGCCCCTCTTCTCTGAAAGAGCCACAGTGAGGCTCTGAGGATGGACCTCCAAACCCTTCAGAGGTCGCTCTGCTCCCTGAGACTCAAAGGCCCTGCCACGTGGACTTGGCTTCATCCTCCAGTCTCATTTGTGGCCCAGCTCCACTCCAGAACATCCTGGCGGGGCCCCTCAACTCACCAATACACCCATTCCTGCTTCTTGCTGGGGCATCGGCCATGGTGTTTCCCCACTTGGAAAGCTCCCCATGAGGAACTCCAACTCGGCTTTTGTGCTTGGCCCAGAAAGGGTCTCCTCCGTTCGGAAAGCTGGCTGTGCCAGCCTTTCCTCCAGGACCACCAAGGCTGTGGGCCAGGAGCCACATTTTGGAAATGCTGTTTTAGGTGTCACCTACAGCCAGGGGAGGAGCAGAGCTGGCACACTCCAAGTGGTGGGGACACATGTGCTATTGTCCCTGTGGGGAAGAATCTGGGGTGAAAACCCACAGAACCGCATGTGGGCCTCTGCCCCACAGCCTCTTCCCATGACCACCCTGACAAGGAAGCCTGTTCCTCTCTCCTCAGTGGACAGCTCACCAGCTCTGGTCTCTGCTGCACATGCAGCCACAGTTGTGAACACACACACACACACACACACACACACACACACACAGGAGTGCATGCGCAGTGAACAGAACGTCTGAATTAATCCAGCCCTTTCATCTGCTGCCTTCAACACAACAGGGCCTCCATTGCTACATGGAAATCCTTCCTCCTCCCTCACCTCCTCTGAGAGGAGGTGTTTCTAATAAGAAGCCACTGTCCCCTTTCTCTCACCACATTTCTCTGGCCAGGTGACCTAACTGCTGGCCCTGCCCCACCATTTCAGAGCCACTCGAGGATCTCTTGTCTTCCTCCTTCCCTCTGAAACTCCCCTTCTGGCTGTGGCTTCCACCAGGTTTGCACATCCAGCTCCCCTGTGCTCTTCAGTGCTCTAATTTTAGGCTGAGCTCAGCCGCCAGAACAGTTTAGTTAACAGCGCAGTTACCTCATCTCTTCTTCATTCCTCCCAGCCTCCCCAACCAGGAGGTGGTAAGAAACGGGACAAACTGTTTTCTGCCCAGACCTATTTGTCCTTTGTAGTTTTTGTTTTACAGATCGAACCCAGGGCCTGTGCACTGAGACATACCCCCATCCCTTTTTCACGCTTCGTTTGGAGACAGCGTCTCCTTAAATTGCTTAGGCTGGGCTTGAACCCACTGCTCTCCTGCCTCAGCCCCTGGAGTGCCAGCATCACAGGTGTGCACACCACGCCCAGCTCTTCCCTTGCAGGTTATCTCCATTCCTGCCTTCACACCTACCTCATTGCCTGAGACCCAGAGCTCAGAATCCCCACCCACTTCTTCCGTCCTTGCCTGTTTCCAGGGAGTCTTCAACATGGCCCGACTCCTGGTGAGGGTCTGTCGAATCCAGCTCTCTCTGGCCACAGTGCCACCCCTAAATCTTGTCATCTCTCTGCTCCTGAATCAAGACCCTCTCCCGGTTTATGCCACAACAACCCACCTGGGCCACCACCCTCCAGTCCATGCCCAGTGATTTTTTCCCAGACCTACACTGTTACATCTTGCTGTTACTGGCCGCTCAGGTTCATCTGCTTGCCTCCGACCAAATCAAAGGAGGTCTTATATCTCTGTAAACAAGAAAAAAGGATGTATTTAAAACTAGCTCAGAGGGGATGAAGGGGCCCATTTGCATCAAATCACCATCTCTGTGTGTACAGGTGGGCAAGGTCTTTCACAGTAAGGGACACAGGGGAGGGGCAGAGAGAGAATGCAGACCTCCATACTTGCTGTATCACATCCAGCCATCTTCAGCTCATTCTTCCTCTTTCTGTGGCCACCTGGCATCAGCACCTGCATGTCCTGTCACTTCTGGGCGTTGGTTATGTGCTCAGCAGGAGGAAGTTCGGAGAAGTCGCTTATCTCTAAAAGAAAAAAAAATCTAAAATTTCAAGTGTAATTTTGCAGGGCCGGTTACAATTAAGTAACTTCTGTGACTTCCTACTCTCTGGAGCAGTCATCCTTACCTCTGGCTATATCCATTAGAATCTCCTAAAGAGTGTTTTGAAAATGCCAACCTAAGCTCTACCTCCAGACGTTCTGGCTCAGACGGCCTTGCTGGTTTTTAGAAGCTGCCCTGCTGATTACAATGCGCAGGACAGGTTCAGGCCTAGAGGATAAAGTCCCAGGCAGGACCTCAGCCTGGCATTCTGTGACCCCTATTCTCCTAACCTCACACCGAACACCCCTCCACTAGTATGGTTGGAATTCTAGCTCTCCTGAGCCTGAGGTACTTCACTAGTTTGCACTCACAATTCTTGCCATCCAGGCTTCCTTCTATCCCCTGTCTGCCCTAGATCATTTGGAAAAACTCCCACACATCCTCAAGACCCACCATAAATGTGACTTATTCCTGTGGGTTTCTCTTGCACAGCATCTGCTCCATGGTAGCTGTGTTGGTGGGAACTGAATGTGGTAGCTACAGCAGGAACAAACCCTGCTCTCCAAGAACTCTCTTTAGGGTGAGGGGTGGGAGATGGAAACCAAAGGTGGAATCTGTTAGTCAGCTTTCCTTCACTATAACAAATACCCAAGATGACCAGTTTACAGGAAAGAAAGTTTCATTTGGCTCACAGTTTTGAAGGTTCCAGTCCATGCTGGGGCAGATTGTTGCTTTTAGTCCAATTGTGGGCAATGGTACATTATGCTGTGATGCGTGATATAGCAAAGTTGCTCACCTTGTGGCCAGGAAATGGGAAACAGGAAGCAGAGGCTGAGATCTGACCACACCCCCACCCCCACTCCACCTCTTAAAGGCCCCACCACCTTGCAATTACACACACAACAGACACACCAGATCCAAACGCTAGCCAAGAAGTCCTCAAACTTGTGTGCACATCAGAATCACAGGTGCTGGGCTTCTGGCTGTGAGGTCCACAGCAACCCCGACAACTTACATTCCTAGCAGATTCCAAACCATGCCAAGGCTGTGGGCTGGGAGCCACATTTTGGAAATGCTGTCTTAGGTGTCATTTACAGCCAGGGGAGGAACAGAGCTGGCACACTCCAAGTGGTGGGGACAGCATGTGCCATTGGGGAAGAACCTGGGGTGAAAACCTACAGGACCTCATGGTGGCACAGAGTGCGAGGGAGGAAGGTGGAGACTGCTGTGGCTCCCCCAGCCAAATGGTACCCTGCACACTCCCTTTGTGGGCTCCTGCTGCTTCCTCTCTACCTCTTTCTTCTGCCACAGCCAGCTGGCAGCACCTCCCAGGGAGCTCAGCGTCCCATCTTGTGTGGGTGCCCACAGCCTGCCCAGGACCTGTCAGAGCAAACACAGGGTTGAGCTTCCATGTTCTTGCTCTTTCCAAGAACTGAGCAAAGGAGAAGCCTACTTCTCTCTCCCACAGCAACACGTCTCAAATGTTTGCTGTCTTCCCCCTTCCGGAGACAGTACCCGGGACATCTATTCCACATCTGAATTGAAGTCCCTGTGTTTGAATTCCTGCTGTCCTCTCCCCTTTGGTAACAGAAGGAGAAGTACCCTGAGGTCAAGGGGGCCCCCAACCCACCTTCCCAAGCCTCCGGAGTTGGAAGGAAGGTGAAAGAGGGGGCAGCACCTGTGCAAGTGCACTTTTACTTGCACATGACCCTGGGAGGAGGGTGCAGTCGTCAGGGAGTCAGCGGAGTTGCCTTCCTCACGAACACTGATCACAGTGTCTGTGTTTCCTCAGAGAGCAACCTTGGCCAGTGCCTGCAGTGGCTCTGTTCAGAACAGGGGCCGGCAAGGAAGGCCCTGGGTACTCTGAAGTTCTTACGTGGCCTCCCCTGACCCCCGTCCTGCCTTTCCCATGTCTTGCTCCACCCTGGAAAGCAGAGTGGGAGACACGCTCAGGGCAGAGGGCGAGAAGTCTTGTGTAGTTACTCCATGTGGCAAGATAAGAGCATTAACCTGACTGGGGTTTTGATTTTCAGTTGCCTTTCCCCTTGCTATCCTGGAGGACAGGGAATAAGAGGGGTATTTGGTAAAGTATGGTTAAGAGACCACAGATCTTCCACTTCATCTGTGTGGGAAGCAGAGGGATGTAGATTGGTGATTTTCAGACTTCAACTGCCTAGGGATGCCTTGGAGGGCTTGGTACAACCCAGATTGCTGGGCCCCATCTCATGTTTCTGATTCTGCAGGTCCCAGTGGGGCTGAAGCATGTGTATTTCCAACAAGTTGCCAGGGGGCACTAGTGCTGCTGGGGAGCACTTTCAGAGCACCTGTTTCAGCACCACGCCCAGCTAGAGCTTGCTAAGAATTTATCAAGCACCTCAGGACAGAACTTGACCCCTCTCGCCAAATATAGAACCTGAACCCTCCAGGGCCTCCTGGCCACTCCAGCACAGGCACAGGCTTGTGTTTCCAGGGGCCAAGAGATTCCTGGGAAGAATGAAGGGGTTGAGGGCCAGGGGGCACTCGGGTCAGGGAGACAGGAAAGGGGAAGAAGTGTCCATTTGTCACTCTTTCCGTTGTATCCTTGTAGGAATCACGTGGATCCTAGAAGTAGGAGGCATACACAGCAAGTGCCACATTCAAGGGAGAGGTTGCTGGCCCAGGATTTAAAGTTGTAGATGTGGCCAGGTTCTGGCGCAGTGCTGCTCTGAACGATAGAGGGTCGCATTAGCTCTTAATGTCTTATAATCCAAGTGGCCACGGAGGGGTATGGTGCAGAGGTTGGTGACCATGTAAACATGATGACAGTTTAGAGGAGCCAGTCTGAGCTGTCTTGGTTTCCACAGGAAAGACCAATACCTCCTGTCACCGGTGAACTGCTGGTATCTGGTCCTACATCAGACCCGGAGGGAGAGCCGAGACCATGCCACTCTCAATGACATCTTCATGAATAATGTCATTGTCCGCCTCTCTCAGATCAGCGAGGATGTCATCAGACTCTTCAAAAAGGTAGGCAAGCAGGACAGCTCACCGGCCCGGGGTCTCTACCCCAAGCTTGCATGGTGACACACTGCCCCTGGCAGGTATGGCTGGCAACAAGGGACTAGGAGGGCAGTGTGAAAGGCTGGGCTTGGGATTGTAGCCCTGGGTTTGAGCTCTGGGTAAGCCTTTTTTATTTTTCCAAATCTTGTAATGGTACATTTTAGGTATTCAATGCATTTACATTTATCATTGGGAACTTGTACCTTTACACGATGTATCTTGGCTCTTTTTTTTCCCCTATGCCCCTGCCCTCCCTTCAACTCGTGCACCCCTCCCTACTTACAAAGATTTTGTTTCCATTTTTTCCTTTCTTTATTTTTTTTTCTTTCCCTTCTTTCCTCCCCTCCCTCCCATTTCTCTTACCCCTTTGCAGCTTTTCTTCCTATTTCACATTATCAACTATTCACTTTAATCCTTATTTACACTTTGTTTCTCACACCAGAGAAACTATTAAGCATTTACACATGTATCTTATTTATTTCACTTAAGTATGGCCCCAATGTGCATCCATTTAGCTATGAATATCTCTAGTTTCTCATTCTTTATGGCTGAGTAGTAGTACTCCATTTAATAAAAAACCCACATCTTCCTCCAGTCTCCAGTTGATAGGCATTTGGGCTATTTGCAAGCTTTAGCTATTACAAACTGTGCTGCTTTAAACACAGGTGCACATATATTGCTGTGGTGTGATTCTTTTGGGAAGTTACCCAGCAGAGGAAGCTCTGGATAAGCCTTGCAAGTCTGTGTGTTCTCAGCTACTCCAGCCACTGCCACCTCAAGAATGGCAATTCTTTGCCAGCTAGGCAAGCAGTGTTCATGCATCAAAGGGAATCAGGAAGAAGAGTGATAAGCACACATGCAAAAATTAAAACCACCCGAAATGTTATCACTTGGAAATAATCACTTCAATGTTCCAGGTATTTCTTTAGATGTACATATGCAAATATATTTTCTATGAAAGCTTATAATTCATCCATTTTATAGTGTACCTAAGCATGTTTCTCAAATGAGATCATGTGATAGCACTACCTTCTTATATCACCTTACAAGACATGTAACACCCTGTTACACAATTTTCCCATGTCAAAAATGTCTTTCTTTCTCAACTTTTTGAGACAAAGTCTCACTATGTTGCCCAGGCTGGTTTCAGTGGTCTTCCTGCCTCAGCCTCCTGAGTAGCTGGGACTACAGGCTCGTGCCACCATGTCCTTTTATGTCTCTGGAGGCTGTGTATCTGGAGCCCCTTGCCCAGTGCTGAGTGTACTCTGAGTGCTGTGTATATGTGGGTATAACTGAATCACTCCTGTGAATACCAGTTTCCTCACATGTAAAATGGTCTTGTCACGTAGCCACTGGCCTTCATCATTTGTTTATCCAGTGGGGTTTAATTCACTCTTCCCCAGGGCAGTGCGAAGATTAAACACTGGTGTGTGTGGAGGAGAGAGGCATTAGTGACAAATTGTTTTGGGTGTGGCCTCTAGGTGCAGATTTCTTAAATACTTGGACTCATGATTCTAGTTTCATCTTTTATTAACTGTGTGTTACTTAAACTCTCCGTGCCTCAATTTCCTCACTTGTAAGATGGGGATAGAAATACTCCCAGGGATGTTGGGAAGGTGGACAGGACAGAGGGGAGCCCCAGACAGTACTCAGAGGAAGTTGGCTATGGTCTAGACTACTGTGAGGGCCACTTACTACCCAGCTCACTTCTTCTGAGTGCCAGTTTTAGAGATTTGGTGATTGAGGATCGTGAGAAGCACAAGGAAGGGGAAAAGCTGATTAGGAACACAGTATAATCATCTCTCATGGTCTGGGTTTGGGTTGTCCGCTGTGAGGATTACTTCCAAAATTGTAGTCATAGGCTAATTTCTTCCCCCCACACAGTGTGCTTCTGGTCTCCTCCTGGGGCTGTGTTTATGAAGTGTGGTTTAAGTTTAATATTTGCATAAGCAAACATAATTAGGAAGGTAAATACACAGTGGAAAAAAAAATCACCCAGCGCTGTACTAAGCCTGGCTGCAGGGAGGCAGAGGGCCGCTGGTCTGGATCCTCAGTCCTGTCACAAGCCCCAGCCCTCACCTGCTGATTCTGAATGGCTTTTTCTGGGGTGGGAGGTGACTCACACAGAAAGGGTCATCCGGGCCTTTAGGAAATGAAGGTCTTTTTCCTGAGCTGAGCCCTGGGACAAGTGAGATAAATCTTTTCAGTTCCCATTTAGGCTGACAGCAGCCTGACTGGTGATGGAGGTTAACAGGGTGGAAAATAATGAAAAACTGTCTACAGCTGAGCTCCTGGCTGCCTCGTTACCGGGCAGGCTCCTGGGAACAAAGGGAATGACCCAGCCCCCGTGGACCGGGAGAGAGACAGGCTGGGGCCTGGTGCAGCCCTTTTGTGTCACATCGGTTGTATATGACCTGACAACTGAGGCCAGCGTGCTGTGTGTGATGAGGGGTCTGGGGGCCCTTGTGGCCACCAGACAGGGGCTCCCCATCACCCCACTCTACGGGAGGAGGGAATGCCATGAGCAGAGCCCAGAGGTGGTGGCTTTCGCCTCTTGTCAGCAGTGGGTTTGATGATTTGGAGTTTGTCTCTGAACTGCCTCTCTCTGACCACCCTTGGGCAAGCCTTGCTGAGCCTCGGGGTTCTCATCTGGGAAATGGAATGGTAACACCACCACCGACTTTGGGGTGCTTTGACCAGGAGAGGTGCTCCACAGATGTGGTACCCAGTAGATGCTCATTAAGAGAAAGTTGGCTGAGAACAGAAGCCCGCCCCATGCCTATGCTGTTCTTCACCCTGCTGCTGGGTCTCGCTGCTGGGGCAGGTGGTGCAGGGGCAGAAGCAGCTTCAGGCTGTGTCCCTGCATGGGGCTGGATGGCTGCCCAGCCTGCCTGCTTAATAGCTACCTTTTCCTCATTCTCCATGTCCCCTTTCACAGGGGGCTCTGTTCTGATGACTAGAAATAGCTCTGAATTCCAGAAGCCCAGGCAGGTGGCCCTTGCTTTCAGTAGGATGCATGAGTCAGCTATAGTACAGTGAAAAGGAAAGAGATCTTAGGGGCCATGCAGAGAGGTCCAGGCTCTTCCCGTCAAATGCAACAGAAATGCAGCTCTACTGCTTTAATGGAAGAGGGAACTTTCCAGCTCTTCCAGGATGAACCTGGTTTCTGGGGCACAAAGATTATGTTATCAGAACCTAGTCTTTCTGCAACTCCACTCCACTTTTTCTTTCCAGTTTTTGAGGGGTGAGGGGGCTCAAGTGACTCTCCCTGTTGATCAGATGGCCCTGAGTTGCTCTGGGACTATATACTGCCCACCTCAAGTTCCTCTTCCTAGAAATGGCTGTCCCAGGCTCCAGTGGGCTCAGCACAGGTTGCATGAGTGCTCACTTCTGAAGCCCTGCCTGTGGCCAGGAAATGTGGCACTCCAAGTGACTAACCTGGGAAGGATGCTACCTCTGAAGCCGGATGCACAGTCAACTCCACAAGAATGGAGGAGAGGCTTCCCCAGAACAATTGGGGAACCCTTCAAGAAGAGGGGGAAAGGAAGCAATAGATGTCCACCTTCCTCAGCTAGATGTCCCTCATCAGGGGGCGCTTACTACCTTGTAGGACAATGGCTTATTCTATTTGAGACAATCGTGATCAGTGGAAAATTCTCCTAACGCTGAAAGGTAATCTTACAGTGCTTCAGGTCCTGACTTCCAGTCACACCCCTGAGGGAATCCATGTGAAACCCTGTCACTTGTTGGAAGACAGAAATCGGAACTACTTGTCTTGGTCTTCCCTGGCAGTAAGCAAACACTCTAGGCTTAGTTTTTCCTTGCAGTGGCACTCTGCCTCCCCACCTTGGTTATCTTCCCAGGACTGTGCTGTCTTCTCTGATCCGCAGATGTGAATATTTAGCAGCAGGTGTAGTATTCTGGGAAGGTCTGACCAGCTCAGAGTGCAGCATGCTGGCTGTGTAGGATGCATCAGAATGACCTAGATGGCTGGGCTCCCCTCTGATAGTTTCTGATCCAACAGGAGCAGGGAATGCCTGAGAATCTGCATTTCTAATTAATTTCCAGGAGCTGTTAGTGCCCCTTGTGTGGGGATCACGCTTGGAGAATGGCTTATCTGGTCCATGTCCTTCTGACCAACGAGTAGACTGAGGTGGCCCTAAACTCAGAGTTTGTACTCCTGGCCCAGTGTGATGTGCTAGACCAGCTGGGAGGCTCTGCGGCATCTCTCTCACCTTCCCTTCCAGGCCCTGACCGTGTCTGAGGCTGGGCATTGCAGCCCATTCCATTTTCAACCTCGTTCTGTTTTCTTCAGTGTCCTTAACAATAGCCATCCATTATGCTATGCTCTGATGCCTGCAGAGTTTAATTACTTGCCCCAGCCGTGATGTGAATTTGATGGAAGCCGTGGTGTTCAGGAGGAAGCACTAATGAGGAAGGACTCTTCGCAGAGAGGAGAGGGCGTTCAGGGACTTGTGTTTGAAAGCAGCCATTCACTGTGTGGCCACAAGGATTCCGTCTTAAGTGAGTTTTCTCACTCCCGCCCCAAAGATGTCCGTCCCATTTCATAAATAAATCAGGGCTTTTGTGTCCAGTAATTGCTTTTCTTTGTAACAGAGATCAAAAGCATCCATGGCCTTGGATTCAAAGCCAAGTTTATTTTTCATGTTTTTGCTTGAAGGAGAGAGAGGGTTTGCAGGGTGGAGGGTCCAGCTATGAGGGCAGCACAGGGCAAGGGGAACAAAGTGGGAAAGCTGCCAAGGGATGAGGCGCCTCCAGCCTGTCTCTATTGTCTCCCAGGGAGATGAGCCTGCTCAGCCCAGCATCAGCAGGCATTCCCAACTCATCCAACACACACACACACACACACACACACACACACACACACACGCACACACATTAATGCCAGCATGGCAGGAAACAGCCATGGCAAACAGATGATTAGTGAGTGCTTATTGTGCTCTCCA